ATATAAATCAACAACACTTCTAAATACAGTAAAATAAAATGCATTTAGCATTAATTTAAGTATATTTCACTGCGTGCCCTAATTTTCCGCCCATAAAGCCCGGTAAACATCGTTTTCGTATGAAAACATGCAGGTTGTAGGGATTAATGAGTGGGGCTACATAAGCTACTGTTGCCAGAGACCGTATGCTTTCAGGAAATCCCAAGTGTCCTACAGAATCACCACGTGAAGATGAGAAATTTGGCAGGCTCATATTCCCATCTGTTACGCTTATTGATTATTACTCAGCTACTGACATAGTTGTAGGAAATAGCAATATTAGTTGATTATGGAACAGACTGACCCCCAATTAAACAGGAGACCTCCCCTAAACCCCCAGATGGGGTTAGATACTGCAAAAATTTAGTCTTTTAACGGCAAATGGCACCATGCGACATAAAGACATGGTAAAACTTGAGCTATTGCTTAATAAAATTTTGTCAACCAGTAAGACGACACAGCCTGGTGGAGAGGGCAGAAAGCAAGGAGAGCCCTGATGTGCTCCGGGCCTCAAACATGTAGCTACTCGGAATAGCATAAACCCAGATTCACACTCCCTGATAGGATTGAGGGGATATGAGTCGACCTTCTTAGAGTCCAAGCTAGAGCTAGATACCGTAATAAGCCTATAGGTAGTCTACAGACGGCAAACGTTACGACATAAAGGCATGGTAGGACTCGTGCTATTATTTAAAAAAAAAACTTTATTCAGCCCATAAGCTAATCGCTTTACCTCATGCAGATTGGTAATGCACACTGGGTGCCGACTTCCTAAGCAGCACACACAGGTCATACTATAATATACTACTAATGGCCTTCGTAAGCATGATTACTACAGGCCGCACTGTAGCTTGCCACTTACTGGCTTTACAAAATATGATTAATATAACTAGCATTTCTAGCACATGTAGGCACAGCACTTCCAACTGTAGTATCCTACCCATAGCAGTGTAAACTTTATGAGACAAACAGGACAAGCACTGATGTGCATCGAGCTTCAAACGCTTCTCTACTGGGAATAGCAGAAATCCAGGTCCAAACTCCTATGTGAGATCAGGGGAACACGGCTCCAGACCTGACTCCAGTCAGTGTCATTCCTGACCAAATATTAGCCAGAGTAAAAACAATAACAGTAGGATCACTCAGAGACACCCCTAGAAGCAGCAGTATAAACACTATTTACAGTAG